TGACTGAACTGGCCCAGCTCTGGCTGTTGTGGCCATGGAAGAACCAGCACATGGAAGATCTCTCTCTCTGTCTGTCTCTCTCTCTCTTTCTTTTTCTCTCTCATTCTCTGTCTGTGTCTCTCCTTCTCTGTGTAAATCTGCGTTTCAAACAGAAATTTCTAAAAATCTTTCTCGATACAGTAGAAAAGTATTTTCACAGCAGTAATTAACAAGAATGTATTAGGTGATTTTACCTTGTAGATAAGAAAACACACAGTAAAAACTTGTTCAATAAATGAGATAACTGAGAACACTACTGCTACTAAATCTAATTGTGAATGGATAATTCAAACTTTAGATAAATCACTAAAACTTTCTGAAATATAATAAGAGAGAAAACACAAAATCTTGTAAAATAGTTAATCAGAACAGAGAAGACAGAAAAAGGAAAAAAAGAAATACCAAAGTGTAGTGGATGAAAAAAGTTACAAATCATGGTAGATTTTAACCCAATTATCAGTAATCACTTTAAATGTAAACAGTCTATCAAAAGCCAGAGGCAGATGCAGTGTTTGCCATCGCAGTTTAAGACCTCATATGGGGAGTCTACATCCCTAGTTAGGGTTTGAGTGTTAACTCCACTCCTCATTCCAGCTGCCTGCACACCCTGGCAATTAGCAGGATACCAGCCACTCATATGGGATAACATTGAGTTTCCAGCTTCTGTCTTCATTTGGCATAGTCCCAGATGTTGTACATCTTAAGCAGTGAACCAGGGGAGAGGAGATCTGTGTTGTCTCTCTCTCTCTGTCTCTCTTTGTCTCTCTCTCTCTCTCTCTCTCTGTTTCTCTCTCTCTCTGTTGATCCGTCTCTCCTTTCCAAATAAATAAAAATGTTAGGAAATGCTGTTTTCTTCCCTGAGTATGCTTTCTTTCAGTGCAATTTATTCCTGTAGCATAGATAATAGTAACATCTGTATGTTAATTATTTTATTGTTTATGTCTCTTAAACTGCCTTCTAATCCTGAGCTTTCCTGAGCTAGACTATTAAAGCAACCTGCCAAATTAGTATTTAAAAATGTTAGAAAAAGCACAAGAGCTTTCCAGAGTGGATAAAAATATTAAATCATATGTTGTGTACAAGTCATGGATAAAAGTCAAGGGATAGGGCCCGGTGCAGTAGCCTAGGGGCTGAAGTCCTCACCTTACATGTATCAGGATCCCATATGGGCACTGGTTCTAATCCCAGCAGCCCAGCTTCCATCCAGCTCCCTGCTTGTAGTCTGGGAAAGCAGTCAAGGACGGCCCAAAACCTTGGGACCCTGCACTTGTGTGGGAGACCTGGAAGAAGATCCTGGGTCCTGGCTTTGGACCGGCTCAGCTGCAGCAGTTGTGGCCGCTTGGGGAGTGAACAGAAAATCTTCCTCTCTGTCTCTCCTCTCTGTATATCTGATTTTCCAATAAAAAATAAATAGATCTTTTTCAAAAAGTCAAGGGATAAGGAAAGATACGCTGTATTAGCTCTAATCAAAAGAAAGCTGGGCCAGCCCATACTATTAGATAAAACGGGCTTCAGTTATGGGAAATTATCAGGGATTTGAAAAAAAAATCACATAGTGACGGAATCAATTCTCCAACAAGATACCACTATCTTCAGTGAGTGCACCTAACACAGAGGATCAAAATTCATGAGGCCAAATTGATACAACTGAAAGAAGAAATAGGTAAAATATAATTGTTGGAGACTTATATAGCCATCCATTAGTAATTGACAGGAGCAGCGGAAAGAAAATTAGCAAAAATACAGCTGAACTGAACAGCACCATCAATCACAGGGTTGCAATTGACATTGAATATTTCATTTGATAATTATACCTTTTTGTAAAACTTATACAGAACATTCACCTAGATAGATCAATGCATGGACTAAAAACGCAAACTAAGTTTGTAAGAACAGAAGCCAACAGATGGGCTTGACAATTAGAATGAACTTGGCTCTCTAACTCACTACACGCACAAGACCTAAGTCAAAATGGGTTAAAAGACCTCCAAGTTGCAGCTACATGTATAAAACTCATACAGAATAGATGCATTACATTGAAATAATCATGACTTTGGTTAGGCAATCGTTTCTTAGTATAACAGTAAACACAAACAATAACATACATATGTATATGTAGGATATTATGAAAATTTAGACTTTGGTACTTCAAATGACATCAAGAAAATGAAACGGCAACCCTCAAAGTGGGTGAGAGTGTTGCAAACTCTAGCTCTGAAAAGAGTTTAGTATCCAGAATATACAAAGAATAGTTGCAACTCAGCAATGGAAAGACAATTAACCCAATGATAAAATAGCTAAAATATCTAAAAAGACATGCTTACAGGAAGCTATTAATACTCAGTAAGCAAGATTAAAAAAAAAAACATGTTCAACATTATTATCCATTAGATTAACAGTTATTCGAAGGACTGCTACTTGGTTTGGGGTTTCTTCAAAGGGGCAATAGAAATGTCTTGAAATCAGACAGTGGGACTAGCCACGCAGATTTGTGAATATAAAAAGCACTGCTTGTACACCTTAAAGGGTGAATTTTATAATATGTGAATTACATCTCAATACAGAGAAAGCAATCTAATTATAAAATAAGCAAAAGATCTGAATAAACATTTCTCCAAATGAGGATATGCAAATTGCTAATAAGTGCACCAAAGATGCTCAACATCACTACTCTATTAAGAAATGAAAATCAATAACACAGTTGAGAGACTGTCTCATCCCCGCCTACACTGTTCAGATAAGAAATAACAAATTATCAGTGTCGATCTGAAAAAGAAACCCTCAGATACGGCTGATGAGAAGATGAACTGCTGTAGTCACTTTGGAAAAATAGTCTGATGGTTGCTCCAAAGCTGAACCAGAGTTACAATACGATCCAGCAATTCCATTTCTATGATCTGTCCAAGCGAAATAGAGGGGCTGGTGCTGTGGCACAGTGAGTTAAGCCACCGACTCCATCCTGTATGCGAGCTAGTGTGAGTCCCAGTTTCTCCACTTCTGATCCATACACCTACTATTGCGCTTAGGAAAGAAGTAAAAGATGGGCTGTCTTTGGGCCCCTGCACCCACGTGGAAGAACTGGATGAAGCACTTGGCTCCTGGCTTTGGCCTGGCCCAACCCCGGCTGTTGTGATCATTTAGGGAGTGAACTAGCAGATGAAAGATCCCTCTGTGCGTCTGCCTCTCACTATTCCTCTCCATAACTCTGCCTTCCAAAGAAATCAATAAATCTTTTTAAAAATTGTAAATAGCTTAAGAGAAATGAAAACATTTTCATAAAATATTTATACATGAATAGCCTTAGTGCTATTCACATGCTCCATCAACTGATGAATTGAAGAACATATTAGCTCTAGACAATGAAATGCTATTTGGCAATTTTTTTAAAACGATGCACTAATACATGCTACAATGAGGACAGATGTCAAAAACATTATGCTAAGTGAAACACGCCAAACATAAAGGGTCATATACTGTGTGATTTTACTTCAGTGAAATGCCCAGCACAGGCAAACTCACAGTGACATACAGTATTTCAGTGTGGCTGACTTGGGGTGGTGGAGATGGAAAGAAAGGGTGAGTTTGTACTAATCTGTGTGCATTTGTTGCAGCGGTGGTGAAAATGGTCTAAACTTGATTGGGATGATATTTGCACAATACCGTGAATAATCAATTCCCTGTGTACTTTCACATAGTAGATGGGTTATTTCTTAGTAAAACCATTTTACACGAGAGAAAATGGGATGTTCTATTGCTTAAGTTAGATGGGAAGTAAGTACATGGCTACACATCTTACTATGATTCTTTAAATTTGCATTTAGATTCTTCTTTTCGTAAAAAAAAAAAAAGTATCTTAATTTTTAAAAATCTTTGTTTTTTGAAGTCTGGCAGACCAAGATTCAGGCTTAACCACTTGACAGCAATAAATTCTTGGATGATAATTTAACCTAAGCCCTCCGAATTTGTAAAGAAGAGCTGGGAACTCCTTCAAAGACTCTTATATATTTTGCATCACATGCTGTCGGTGCTAATATTGGCTAATGATAGCTATCCACCATTGAGCTGCTCACGCAGAAAACCTAGGTCTCTCCTTTTTTAAACACCCAATTCCAACTTACTATCCCACAAGAGTTTTTAAAGTTTGGGCAGGGGAATAGATTTGACCTTCAAGTAAGTCCTACTAAATCTAATTTTAAAAATTTCTAGACACAGATATCTCTGGGAACCATTATGCTAAATAAAATCAACAAGCAGTGCCCCCTCCAAATAAATCATGTGTCCTGTAATACACAGAATACACACAAAAAAAGAATCTTTTTCATTACCCACTATACTACAACATATTTCTGATGTTTAATTAAATATCTACATTTCCCTCAAGATGCTTCGCTCCAAGAAAAAACAAGATTTTTTTTCCTGTTCAAAACTGTATTCCTATCATGGCCCTAGTACAAGGTCATGAACATAGTAGGTATTCAACAATTATTTGTCGGCTAAATGGAAATTGGTCAACGTAACAATGAGTAGGTTTCTGACATCATGGACAGGGATATTCAAGAGTCCAAATGGAGATCTCGGATTTCCAAATGAAGTGGTCCTGAGGAAGCATATTATAAAACAGATTAGCTGGACAAATGCTAACGTGTGGGCCTGGTACAATGATTCAGTTGGCTAACTTTCCCTCTTCAAGAGCTGGGATCGCATACAGGCGCCAGTTTGTGTTCTACTTCCCATCCAGCTCTGCTTGTGACCTGGGAAGACAGTCGAGTACGGCCCAAGATCCTGGGACCCTGAACCCATGTGGGAGACCAGGAAGAGATTCCTGCCTTCAGATTGGCTTAGCTCCAGCTGCTGTAGCCTTTTGGAGAACGTACCAGTAGATGGAGCATCTTTCTCTCCATCTTTCTCTCGGCAAATCTTCCTTTCTAGTAAAAAATGAATAAATCTTTTTAAAAAGTTACCTGTGCTGGGTGAGCACATTCACTGCTGAGGGGTGATTCGCACAGTAAGCCATATACATAGATTTAAAATGAGGCATGAGATTCAGGAGGCAACCTCCTACTTTGTGCTGATTCTCTGGAAATCTGTAAGCAAAACAGATGAACGCAGGATGTAAACTAGGAAACAGGAAGTCAGGGAAGATGATGCCAATTACACCTGGAAGCATCTAAACCTTTTCCATGCTTTGCCAAAATTAAAACAGAAACGACATTCAGAACCGTCTTGTCAATGAAATACTGGTCCTTGACCACTTCTTTATACTGTACCTATTAAACACAAGTTTTATACATATGGTCCATATATTCACTTGGAATTAGTACGTATGTTTGCTTAATTGTTTTTAAGATGCGTATATTCAAATTTAGCTGGGCACATGAAGAACACTCTTGCTTAGATTTGTATAAAGTTCAAGTACAAACAAAACTAATGAAATCCAAAACTTGCACACACACACACAAAAATATGCACTCCTGCTGACTTAGTAGTTGCTAGGCAGAGTGGCCTTAAGGTTTTTTTTTTAATTAAGTTTCAACATTATAAGTCACCCGTTTCCAGTTTTGCATAGGAAAAAAAAAAGGGAAAAAGATTCAGAGTCTCACCATTTGGAAATAACTACTATAACAATTTTGGTATAGTCCTTGGACTTGTTCTACATATTCCCTCATAAAATGAAAAATGTCATCTTGACTTTATAAATCTATGTGTAATCTCTGGTGTGGCAGAGATTGCTCCCTGGCTCTAATCTAGACTTCTGCTGGCATCAAAGTGGCTTCTCGGATCCTGCAGTTTGGGCTTCCTCCATCTTCTTCTCTGGAACACTTGCTCATATCATAAAATTCAAGAAACAGATCTCCTTAGTTTCCCAGGAAATGAAACTTGCAAATTTCTCTACTATGCATTGCTTGTAAAATTCATTTTGCTCCAGAAATGTATTGCCTGCTAATCAGTATAGTTCACATTGTAGTGTGAGTTAAACACCTCCATAATTAACTAGTCATCAAAAGCATGTTTTGGTGCACAATAGAGGTATTCTTTCATATTTTTTTCCTTCCCTCAATTTCTATATGTCTCAACTGGTGATATAACAGACAAAATATGAGGAGTGATTAAAAAAAAGACCTGTGAAAATAAATAATTTGGATAACTTTTTCAAGTAATTTGCAATGTACAAAAGAATATATTGAGAGGATGTCAAAATATCAAGCAGGACCTTCGACGTCTCCCACATTGAATAGATGCAGGAAACTGATATGATTTTTAATTGAAGTTCTGACAATTTCTTAGATACAGAACACTGATATACGAGTGCTTTAGCACCATGGACACTACAACCTGCTGCATTTTCCCTGCATGGCTACTTTGTTCTGGGACAATGTACTAATATTTTAGCAAATTCATATAACGTGTCCTTATCTAAGGCCACAGAAAAAGGAAAAGCAAAACACAACCAACAAAGCTGCTGGCTCTTCTAACAGAAAAGCTGCACTTACTTAGAACACTCTTCCAAGGCTTGGCAAAGAGTCTGCTGAAACGTGCATACTTCCTCAAAGTTTCCCAGCAAAGATGTGAACTCCACAGAACTCAAACTGAAAAAAAAAAAAAATGAAGCTTCATTTAATGGAGGATGACTTTAATACTCTACCCCTAGAGAATTAGAGATGCACTAACAAACTATTAACTGAGAGTTTGCTATTTCCTAGTAAAATACAGAAGCTATCCTTACACAAGAACTTCAACTTTGACTTCTCAATTTATACCAAAGCTACTATCTTAGCAAATTTCTTAGGGTATCTTTTCTGAGTTTTCTCTTCCTGTAATAAGGATAATGACTGCAAAGAAAACTGAGTGATTATCAGGTATCCTTGGGTCTTTTTCTAAAAAGTTTTTGTTTGAAAGTCAGAGTTAGAGAGAGAGAGATTCCATTATTCCATTTGTGGATTCACTCTCTGGACGGCTGCTACAGCTGGGGCTAGAGCAGGCTGAAGCAAGCAGCCGGGAGCTTCTTCAAGGTTCTCCATGTGGATGCAGGGACTCAAGCACTTTGATGAATCTGCTGCTTTCCCAGGTCATTTGTATGGACCTGGATTGAAAGTGGAGTAGCCAGCCACGCACCTGCACCCACAGGGGATGTGGGAGTCACAGACAGTAGCTTTACAGCTATACCACAATGCCAGCCTCAACCCTTAGATAGTTTACCAAAAAACTGTCAGTTAATAACAAGTACTTAATTGCCAAGTATGTATATAAATACACTATGCCATGATTGGGACTAACTGGACAAAAGTAACTCCAGTGCATGGGCGTGGAACCTTTATTCCACCCAAGACTGTATGGGTATTTAAACCATCATTTCCAAGCCATTAAAATCAGCAACTTAAAAATTAGACTGCTATAGATTTATTGAATTATTCTGGCAAAGCCAGACCAGATCATTCTGTGGGTCTTGGATGGCTGATGGACTGAATGTTCCCTGCTTTCATGAGTCTAGGAAAGTAGCTGAAACATACCACACATGCCCATGTCATGCACTGAAGAAAAATGGCTCTGAGCCAAGGCACTATTTTTGCATTTTTTTTTCTTAGTTGTAGTTTCAAGAAAGTTTTCTTCCCCAAATAATTGGAAGCATGGACTTTGGAGTTTGAATACTTTGGCTTGATTTTGTTGCCTTTGCCTGGTTTTGCTCATCTGTGAAATGGGCCGAGTCATGGTACCTAACCCTATAAAGTGTCAGGTTAAACTCAGTTCTCACCTGTAGCATGCTTGGTAAAGGGACAATATATGAGAACTGAAGCCCTGGATAGAAGCGTTTGGTTTGCCTTTGACTCCATTCCACTCCACTCCTAAACCAACCAAGCAATAAATGACCATCAATATCTTCTTTCCTATCTCCTCTCATTTAGATTTTCTTTAGATGATTTAGGAACATTTTAGTTTAATCGAGGCTTATTTTGCTATATATATTTTCTCTCTCTCTCCTTCCCTCTCCTCTATGTAGCTCTTATTTTGAAATAAATACACAAATCTTTAAAAGATCATAGTAACAAAAAACAGTCTCCGTACCATGTTCTTTCTTGTTGAGGATGTAACAGTCCTGGGGAGTCTTTGCAAAAGATAATGTCTGCTGACTAATAAAGAAAGGGAAACCCCAAGCACCGCCACTGACCCAGGGAGGGTCAAATGCTCCCAGTTCCTCTGCCATCCTGTCCTCCCAAACCACAAGCTGGAAACCCCCTGCTGAGTGGCTGCCGAAAGTGAAACCTTCGCCAGTCTGCTTCCCTGGCACCTGTTCTCTCACAGCAGCAAGAGCCCCATCAGGGTTTTCCTTGAACCTGACCGGGCCCTCATTTGGCCCCTTCAGGATCAGGCCAGGAACAGCCTTGGTTTGCTCAAGTGCTGTTGTTGCTCACCAAACTGTCAGACCTAATGGAAACTTACTGTAATGGTAAATTTAAATTGTTTCGGCCTAGTGCAGGTCTGCCTCAGGTTTCTCACCTCCTCTGCTCTGGCTCCTTTCCTTTCCTGTCTTCTCACGGTTTGTGATTGCGAGTCAGTCCCTGCTTCATTTGAAATCTTATCATCCCCCCTTCCAGGATCCACAACTAAGTTCCAGTCTCCTCCTTTGCCTGTCTTTTCCAGACAGCACGAGGTGCATTTCAATGGGGAGAGTCAATTTGCCTAGGACTCTTAACACTGTACTGAGGGTCCTTTCATCTTTAAAAACTACGATTCACAGAACACTCCATATTTCACACAGTAACACCAAAACCACTTTGCTGTTGATGATGTTTAAACTCTTACACCAAGAAACATTCTCATAGTGCTGCAGAACAACTGAGCTGGAAATTCAACAAGACATAATGCCTAAACAAACGTGATTTGGGGAACAGGCATGCGCTGTGGAGCAGCACGTTAAACCACACTCTAGGGGAACCCACACCACATACCAGAATGCTTGGGGAAAAGTACTGTCATGGCTTCTGATCCCTTCCAGGAACGTGCAAGGCCAGGATGGAGCTCCTGGCTCCTGGCTTTGACCTGGTCCATCCCCAGCTCATGCTAACATTCAGAGAATAAAGTGACAGAAGACAATTCTCTCTCTCTCTCTCTCTCTCTGTGTGTCTTCTTCTATTGATCTCTCCCTCACTGTCACCATACCTTTTAAATAAATAAATAAATATTTTTAAAAATATGCAATCTTGGGATAAAAGGAGAAAAGTCGGAGAAATAGATTAAATTCATTTAAAACTTACATGGATAGCTTAAGCAACTGCCTACAGATGGGATAACTGCTAAGTTTCTATGTGATTTATTGATTATGATCTTTAGTAAAAGCAAACCAATGAAAATGAAAATAAAAACATAAAAGGATACGGTTAAAAACAGTTAAGTCCACTTTAATTTGCAAAGACACAGAAAAAGAGAACGGTCAGCATTTTCCTTTCATGAAAATTACATTGTCAGTCCAAGCCTTAGACAATGCCGCTTCAAATTCTTTAAAACCAAAATAAAGTTTGAACATTCTTTTTTAAAAAGTGTCTCTTTATCATTCACATATGCCTCTGTGAAATACTGCCTTGAATTGTTCCTATGACCATTCACAAAAATGCCACACTCTTTCTACTCCCAGACCATGGGAAAGAGGTTGTGCCCTGGAAAGCAAAAGGTCACAGTGAGTGTGAGAATTTCCAGTTTGCATATTTCTGAATAAAAGTACCAGAAAGTGTTCTTTTTCTGTAAGTTAAAGTCAGACATCACTTTAAAAATACACAACCTGTGTGAGAGCTAGAAAAGTCGACTTCATGAAAGTGGCCAATAGGAGTTATGACGGGCTGGAAGCTGTGTGGGGAGGGGATGGGAAACGATGATTAATGGCTGCAGGGTACAGTTGGTGGCAGGAATGACTTCTAATGTTCCACAGCACAGGAGGGCAGATCCAGTTGACAGCTAGTCCAGACACAGCTAGTCCAGAGGATTTGGAACGATACAAAATCAAATAAGTAATTGAGGTTTACAGTGATGGATCTGATGATTACCTTGATCTAATCCTATACATTGTACACAAGTAGTGAAATATAATACTACCCTCCATATACAAGTACAATTATTACATGTTCTTTTAAATTTCTAGTTAAAATGTTTAATGATGAAGAGGCAAAAAATGTACAAAATAAAAATTGTAAACAGGCAGAAATACAAATCACCTCATTGTTTCTACCACCAAGCACTACAAAAGCTACATCTTGCATAATTTCTGTTGCCCTGACCATGTTCTTGGCAATCTGTGATCTGTGGAAATTCTTCTAAAGGGCACAATCAATTATTCAGTGACATAAGAGTAATGACTCCATATGCTGACATTTCTTGCTTTGTTTAGTGAAGGTTTAAAGTAAAAAAGCTTACTTGTTATTGGACTGCAGAGGTCTCAAGTATGTAACAAGAAGAGACTGGAGTTCTTTTGCATACTCTTTTTCAGTATCCAGGATGTTCTGTAATACCTATAGAAAAACAAATATCAAAGAGTTGTAATTGTTAAAGAGAGTCCATAGTTAGAAAAGGAGAGGTCCTATTTACTCAGGCTAATATGACACACAAGGAGCACAAACTCCAAATGTACTTTGTCCTGGCAAACTATTTTAAGAATTGTATGGTAGCTGATTATGTTACATAGCTCACACAAACACAACTTTTCAGAGTTACCCATAACATGAGGGATGCTGCCATTGACACAGTACTATTCACAAATGCCTTCATGAGTCTTAAACCACTTTATCCTCATTTACTTAACATAGGATCACCATTCTCTTCTTATGAATAAAAATTGAGACGTGGGTGGACATTAGGCACAGTGGTTAAAAACACTGCTTATCAGAATGCCTGAGTCCAAGTTCTTACCCCACTTCCAATTCCAGCTTCCTGCTAATGTGCAGTGATGTCTGAAGTACTTGGGTACCTACCTGCTATGTAGAAGACCTGGTCAGAGTCCCAGGCTCTGAGCTTCAGCTTGGCCTGGCTCTAACTACCATGGGCATTTTGGCTTGCAAGTGACAGATGGAAGTTATTTGTCTATCTTTTGTCTGTCTGATTCTCTGCCTCTCAAATGAATAAACTAAACAGTTAATTGCAAAAAAGAAAACTGAGATTAAAATGTCATGATAATTTTAGATGCAGAACAATTACAAAATGCTCTTTAAGATATATTTCTGTTAAGACCTGTAGGGAACAAAATCTAAGGATATTGTGAATTTTTAATCAGAGTTGAAATCAATATTTTTATAAAAGTGAAAAGGTGCTAGAGTGAATAACTCAAAGAGAAGAAGCTAAAATGTAGGAAAGTTAGTAAGGCAAACAGTACTTATTAATATCCCTAATAACAATTTTAATCCTATAAATAAAACACTTATTAGTCTGATTAACAATTATTAAAATCCTGTGAGTAAAATAACTAATGAATACTCCCACAGTTTCTCTTTCTCCGAGAGTCCCAGGGTCATGTGCCATTTCACAGCCTCTTCTGGAAGCTTCATTTCATGCTCTTAGAGACAACCAAGCTAACGTCTTGGTATACTTTCTTTTGTATCATCGAATTAACCAAACAATAATTTCCTGAGAGCTAACCTGGTGCCAAATGCTGTTCTGCACACAGGGAATGGAGGTATTAATCCAGGATTACAAAACAGAATGAAGCATTCTTAGCAGGAGAATTGCCATGGTCTACCACTTCACTAGACACACATATTTGGCCTTCTCTATGGGTGCCACATCTGAAAATTCAACCAGAGACTGAAACATTTGGCCCCAGCTGTCAGCAACTGCCTAGGTTGCCCTGTACTTCGGTAAGTATTACACTACTGGAAAGAAAACAGCCAATAGCTAGAAGGCATTTGGGGCATGGTTAATGCCAAACTTATCTTAACTATATATCAGTATGCCAGCACAGTTGCCTATTCTATTTTTCTTTTCTTTCTTTTTTTTTAAAGTTATGTCGATGTTGTATATTGATACTGAGGCCTTGTTGGGGCTTTTAACTGACCGGATCTTTACTCTGTTAGACCTATCTTCAGACCATAGAAGGTCTCCCCAAGAGGCCACTGAACTTATCTGGACAATAAGACGCTGAACTTTATGCTAGGCATGTGTTTGCAAGCAATGAATCTCAACTGAACTTGAACTATGGTTATGCAACAAGGTGGAGGAATCCACCATGGGGGGAGGGGTATGGGAGGGGTGGGGGGAATCCCCAGCACCTATAAAACTGTACTACATAATACAATGTAAGCAACAATAAAAAAAAAAAAAGTTATGTCGAGAAGGCAGAGAATGCCAGGCAGAAACATGCCACCCTAGTCCCCTGGCAGGGGGCTCAAGATTACCCAGGAAAGGAGTGGGGATGGCTGAGGGCACATTTGACTACTGATGTCTTCCACTGTACTTGCAGATAAGCAAGGGAGCTGAGGCAGAGCTGTTTACAGGGGAGAAATTGCAGAGCATGTCTGGGTCAGGCCTAGGCACTCACCTATGTGGGAGACCTGAGCTGAGATAAACAGCATTGCCCGCCGCCTGCTGCCACACACAAAAGCTGGGGCTGGGGAGGGGCATGCCTAGCTGGACTAGGCCACAGTATCCCCCTGTGGGAGTCAGAGCAGTGGGTGGGCCATGTCAGGCTGGGCCACAGCGCCCACCAGAATGGGAAAGAACCAGGATCTGAGGACAGATTCTGTAGGGGACTTGAGGCTTGCCTCTGGGGCTGCATCACCCACCAGTTTATGCAGAGAGCGGGAGGCAGTGACTGGCTAAGTCAGGGTAGACTACAAAACTCAAACGACAGGAACTCATCTGACACTTGTGGGAGCTGGAGATGGAAGGAGGCCAAGACAGGGTCAGCCTACAGCACCCACTAGCATGTGCAAGGGCCAGGACTGAGGGCAAACCAGACCATGCAGGGTTATTGCCATGCTGACATGCATGAAATCTGGGGCTGGGAGCAGACCTGGTGGGGGAACTTGAAGAACTTCCCTACTAGGCTGAAGCTCCAACTGCAGAGCACAATAGCTGGAGCTGGGACTGGACCAACCAAGCAAGTCTGCAGCACCCACTGTCACACACAAGAGCCAATATAGGGTGTGGGCTGCGTCCAGCTCAGGTAGGTTGCAACACCCTCCAGTAAGAGCTGTGACTGCATGTGGACCAGGCCAAGCTGGATTGAAGCACCTGCCAGCACACGCAAAGCCTGGGAGCAGACCTGGTAGGGGAACTTTGGGGACTACCTTGCTGGGCTGCAGCATCCACTGATGAATGTGAGAACCAGGATTGTGAGTGTACCTGGCTGAGTGAGGCTGTAGCACCTGTTGGCATGTGCATATGCTGGGTCTGGGGGTGGGCCAGAATGGGCTAAGCTCTAGCACCTGCTGATGATCCAAGAGCCAGGATGAATTTGGGACAAACTGCGATAGGCCACAACACCCACTGGTTCACATGAGAGCCAGATCTGAGGGTGGACCAGGCTGGGTTAGGCTGTAGCATCCATCGTTAAGAGCAGGAATGGGTTTGGGCCAGTTAGGATAGGCCACAATTTCTGCTGCTAAGTGCCAGGACTGGAGGCGGGCCAAGTCAGTCTAGGTAGCAGCACTCCCTGTCACACATGAAATTTGGGGCTGGAGGTGGCCCTGGCAGGGGAACTTAAGGAGCTTCCTTGCTAGGTTGATGCTCCCATTGGTGATCACGAGAGTCAAGGCTGGGTGCAGGTTAGACCAGGCAGCACCTGTTGGCACATGTGAGCCAGTTGAGGGAGCAGGCCAAGTAGGGTCAATCCACAGAACCCACTGGCATGAGTGAGAACCAGGACAGGGTTCAGGCCAGGCCAGGGTACACTGCAACACAAGCCATTTCACCTGACAGCTGGGGGTGGGTGAGGCTGGGATAGGCTATTGCACTCACCCAGGAGAGATGGGCCTGGGTGTGGGCCAGGCTGAACCAGACAGTAGTACCTGCTGAAAAATGCCAAGACTAGGGGTAGGCCATTACAAACTGAGCTGTAGCACCTGCTTAAACACACAAGCCCTAAGACTGGGAACAAGCCTGACAGAGGAACTGTGAGCACTCTCCTGTTAAGTTGTACCTATTGCTGGTGAGTACAAGAACTAGGGCTTGGGGTAGGCTAGGCTGGACAACGCAGCAGCACCGGTCAGCACACATGAGGGTTGGGATGGAGGCGAGTTGGGCTAAGCTAAGCTGTAGCACCCACAGGTGTGCATGAGAGCTGGATCGAATATGGATTGGGCCGGGATAGGCCTCAGCAGAGGTTGGTATGCACTGAAAACCAGGGCCAGAGGCAGGCCAGGTAGGAGTTATTGGGAATCACCCCGATTAGGCTGCAGCACTTGCTGGAATGCATGGGACTGGGTCTGTGATGGGCTGGCTGGGCTGGGCTACAGCACCCACCAGTTTGCATGAAATGTGTGGCTGGGGTGGAACTGACCAGGCAACTGCACCACTAGTATGTGCATTGGCTGGTGTAGGTGACAAACTGATCCTGACCCTGCAATGGTTGGCACACATGAGTCAAGTCTGAGGTCACCCACATGAGGTTTCTTAAAGAACTCCCCAGCTAGATTGCTGGACTCAGACACTGGCCACAGGGAAAATCACAGGATATGTGATCTGGTCTTGGAGTGCATATGTCCAGACCTGGCCTCCTCAGTTTCTGGTCCCCATGCAGTAAACAGTATGACCATATGTACACAGTGGACATGATGCATCTAGTCCAGTAGAAGACATCAACTGCCTCATCAAAGGATGGAAAGCAGAACAAGTTGGATAATTCTCCTGGCCAAGCTTATAGCAAGTGTGAGTCTGTGGACTTTGTCAACCAAAGATTTTCTCAACCCTGGTGCAACAAACTACTCGAATGACATCCTTGGAACACTCTGCTCCACAGCAGGGTCTCATCAAATGACCAAGCCCCCAATGCCAGGTGCTGACATAAATTGACAGCAAGGAGCACTCCTTCCCTCTCCTCCCTTGTGGACACAGGAGAAAAAAAAACTGAAACACTTGCCCCATCCACCTTCCCCCATTCCTTTATCTCCTCCTACCCAAATCAGAGGCCCATGTGAGCGTGCCACCCTCTCAAGTATGTAAACAATATTAGAAAGGAAAATTTTAAAAAAACTAAAAATGAAATTTAAAAAAGAATGAAACATTTGAGAAAAATACATCTCTACTAAACATGAATAGATTTTTCTTCATCACTATTGCTTTAAAAATACATTATAACAACTATTTTTATCACATTGTGCTGTGTTAGGTATACAAAATATGAAGTTTTAGAGCACACAGGTGTATGGGGGGGTCAGTTTTATGTAAATAATATGGCACTTATTTAGGAGAAGGTCAGTATCCTTGGATGTTGCTACCCATGGGTGGTCCCGAACCCAACTCCCTGAGAAGCTGAAAGACCACTGTACTCACAAGACAATGCATGATGATCTGCTTTTGC